CTTTTAATCGACTTCGTTTAGTTACCCAATCAAATTTTGCATCGATTATGAGACACCTTGTACTTCTAAAAAGTCAGATACAGATCTTTATTAAAACCTGTTAGGCTTTTAAACAAAACGCGGGATCTGTCTTACTCGTTTCGATAGAATACAGTGAGGTGGTTAGACGGCCCACGATAATATGGTACCACTTGTCAGATCGAACGCTCAGATAAAAAAGATCACATAGCCCATTGGAACAGTGTAGCAATACAGCAAAGTAAGAAACCAATGTTTTCGGCCATTCATGTACTGGATGTCTTTTGGAGTGCTTGATTACTTGGGCTGTGAAATGAGTGAACTTTGTTTTAATTGCTGCACAATCTGATTGACAAGCACAATAACAAACTCACGGTTTCCACCGAACGATCACTCAAAATAATTGATGGGCTTAACAAGCTGTTTCACTGTTGAATACAGCCGATTAATCGATACGGGATGCTTCATTTTTTATTCTCGCAATAATCGAGCCTCACCTCATCCTCCCCCCTCTACGTCAACGCGGTTTTGGAGTTTATGTTGAAGGGTAGATCATAATCTGAACTTGGATGGGAACAAATTCAAATTTGGCTGCCAGACTATTCAAGTTACGCGGGAGTAAAGTCACTAAAGTCAGTTCTGAACTTGGATGGGAACAAATTCAAATTTGGCTGCCAGACTATTCAAGTTACGCGGGAGTAAAGTCACATAAAGTCAGTGATGATTTTATGGATTCTCCCATCCATTGTTTTGCGGATTACAAACAGAATGTAGGGCGCAAAAACCAAATTGTGTAGTCTTGGTAATTGTTTGTAACAAATACATTCCCTAACCTGGCAAACTACAGTCGAATTTGATCACATTTGAGATGGAGGTCCAATGAACTCGTGAATTTTGGTAGCGGTATTCAGTTTAGCATTTCTTGTGCCTTGTGCCATCGAAACTAAAAACAAGGATGGATTCGAGAGCGCTTGATGTCTTAGAGGTGAACACGCGGCCTGGATGGTCTCTGTTTCAAATCCAACCTTAACATCTGAATTCCAACTGTCTAGACTTGTGAAACCCCGTTTTTCGGGTTGCATGGCAGCTAGACACCAAAAAACTGTTAGAAATGAACGGTTTATTAAAGACAATGATGTCTCGTTTCCAGGCTTTAGGTCCAGCAGCACAGTACAAGCCCGCTCCTGGCTGTCGCGGTATAATGCCGTACTCACATGGCTAGTTAGATGCACGAGCAAAATCAAGGACGTCAAACCAATATCGAGAAAATTGTTCCGGCAGCATTCGTGAGAGCGATACATAACGCCGTAAAGATTCACAGGGTAGCCGATGCAGCTGCTTTTCAACACGGGAAAAGTTAACACAGTAAGGAATGGTTCGTGGCGTGGTCAAACAGATCAGTTCAGCGGTCACCAAAAATTGTCAAACCTCTGCCAATAAAACTCACAAACACAAGCATTCTTTTATACTGCTATTTCGGGGTTATATTTTGAGTCTCCGGCATTAGAATCCTGGGAGACTCATGCGTTTGTCTATTCACAACTGTTTCAACAATCTCGAATGGTAGATTCTGTTGTGCCTTTTGAGAAAAAGCACTGAGTTCAGTTGAAACCGGGCCATAATTTAATCTTCATCCTCTAACGATCAACTGTCTAAGTGAGGGAGATATCGAGCAATGTTTCATACTAATTTGATAGAATCACCAAGATTACTCCTGTCTGAGAGCGTATCCATCCTCTGGCGAGCCAAACAGACCGTTTTATTTTCGTATACTAATATAATCCATATAGCAATTTAATTCCTCGAGGATTTCATTGTGCTTAGAGTGGGTGCCTGTTTGAGTTGCGAAACAGAGTGTTAAAAAACGATGAATTTACTGTGAGTCCGACCAGTGATGCTTTGATAACACAGTCAGTTTGCTATCCAAAATGAACCCATTCTCCCTGGTACCTCTTTTGTTTGTGTAATGAAACCGCATGGTGTAGGGCAATCAGAAGGTGGACCAGCACAGGGGAAACTACCATCAAAAAACAAAACTGACAATGTCCAAATTGAACAAATTTAATTGAAATTCAGTTGTTCATACAACGAAGGATTGTAACATTCAAACGAAACATTTGGAGGAAAGGTATACGAAACACATCAGAAACGGACCAGAAAAAGTTACGAAACAGCTGCCCCTCAACTAGCTGACCACACCAATGTATAACAGGCACTCTTCGACAGTTATGTGAACTCAAACAGCTGATGAACAAGTGCCCACCAAGACAAAACGCGTTCCAGCCAATTGCTAAAGTCGGCCAACACAATACCGCTCACCATAGAATGCGTCGAAAATGGGGAAAATGCTAACCCAAGCCAAATATTGCAGTTTATTTCTGGAATCCGTCTCGGATAAAACGCTCGTGCCTTCAATGCCAACCGCAATTTGTAAGCGCTTATACACACGTCACTATCAGCAATCCCAATAAAAAGTTCCCTGTTACTTAACGTATCCGTTGTTACGTCCATAAGTATAAACTCTGTTTGTATGTGCGTTGTGGGCGATAGGAGACAGCCCCCGATGTTTTCCGTAAAAGTCCCATTATCCAAACCCACAGCACCCGTGAACTTTTTGCCGTTGAAAGCTTCTGGTTTGGATTGCCAGTTTTGCCTTTTGTTCACATTGCTAACTCAGATGTGTTTTGTGCGCAATCTATCGTACTGTATTCCGCTGTTTTGAATTTCATTCGATTGAATTTCACTCCACATGTCTTTGGTCCCAACAATGTTGACATTCCACAGTGTCAAGCCTACGCTTTTATGAAGATCAAACATGCCTGTTTTCGGGGCGCGTTTGCGTGCCAACTTTAGTCTAACTGATGAACCTCAGCTATTCAGCTCTCCGGGAGTGACCTAAAAATCACGTGCTGTATGTTGAAGACATTAGAAACGCCCGTCTGATTTGCCTTAGTTCAGCTGTTTGCCCTTGCGGCTCAGCACCAATCTCACGTGACACTATCGATTGTTTCCGTTGGCGCAGTCCGATGCGGACTAACCAGAAGAAGGCTTCTAGCCCACTGTGTGTTTGTATATTCGTATCCCTGATTTCAAAAGTCTAGCTGATTCCCCCACCTCTTGGAACATGTTGGATATTTTTGAGAAAACAACATCGGTTCAAAACTGGTGTTATTTGAATCACGCTATCCCCGCTAGCTGATATTTTGTCGCGCGGTATGTATCGCATTATGATAGATACATAAAACTTTATTCAGGCACAAGTAAGGATTTGTACAGGCGTGAATCTAACTTTATCACAAGTGTCAACCTGAAAACAATGAGTCGTTCAAAGGAGATTTCCCCTTCACAATCAGATCTGTCATATAAAAAAATCAATTCCGTTTTGCATACACGAACACTTGCCACACTCTTACCACCACTCCAGCTGACTTCCGAAGACCCACGGTTCCCTTGACAGAACGTCTACATAGATAACGGCACCTAAAATTTTCCCTTATAATAAACGAATCAAATTGGTGATTAAATCCCTCGCACAACTTGCTGAGTTTTTACTTTTCCGGTCTCATCAATTAGTTGTGAGTGTCATGGTTATACGAGGGTTGGGATACTGCCAGGGCGCCCACACCTAGACAGGAGGACGATTAGGGTCCTCAACCAAAGCATTTGGCTAAAAAGGCTAACCGGAAGGCAGCGGTGTTTGGTGGGAAATGCAAATGCATTGCCGCTTCTACGGAACACGTCGCCGTACATGTTCCAACCCCCAACCTGGGGACCAGGAGACTGTGTTCGTCAGACCTCTAACCACCGACCAACCTGGTATGAGAGACTCTGAGTGTCATGGAGACATGCGCCAGTATAGCTCAATGGACCGCTGAGGTGCGCACACCGTCACACCACGGTAAGGTCCAGTCTGTTCTTTTCATCAATTAGACCTAGACCAGGTTCGGCATAAACGCATGCGTCCAATTTAGTGTCCAAACACTGTGATTTATAATTAGGACTGAGCCTACCTGGTCGAATTCAACAAGGACAAAGCCGTTGAACATCTCTTCTATAGATCCTACCAATCTGGAGCGCAGTCCCGAAATAAGGAGAACATTTCAATGTGTTAGACGCTGTTCCAGCTGAAATATGGTGCGGCCATAGTGTCGTAAAAGATTTTCATTCTTCTCCCAATTACGCTCTCCTAATTGGCAGCTGACTAGTCACCAGTGACGCAGTAAATATTGTATGTAATACCAGTGGAAGTAAGAACTCCCTCGCCGCGGAGCTTTTTATCAGAAGACATCAACCAAACAGTTACAGACTATTGGACAGGAAAGCAAAACTCTCATATGGACCTAGTTTTTAAAAAGTGAATATCTGTCTTCTTCTTGGACGCATCCTCTTGAACTTTCCCGAATATTCACTGACCATCACGCTACAAATCGGTTCCACAAACTCCATAATAAACCCCCTTTTTCCAGTAGACGCGAAGCAGAGTTACGAGAAACCACACACTACTCGCATGTCTCATCAGTAGTTCCCACCGTCACACCAGTATATTACACTACACATTTTAAAAACAGACGGAACCGGGTGAAAAAATTTCCATCTCATATTTCTTCCAAATGGAAGCTCAGATGCAGCACTCTGGCTGGATGGCGGCCAGCATAGAGATGCACCATCCCAGTGTTTCCCCGAAACATGACAAGGCCACAATCGTGCACATAGCCACTGAAAATCCTGTCTCTCCTACTGATGTCAGGTCAAAAACCGCTTGAATCAGGTGAATGTCCATTTTCCTCTTATCAGTTAAGTTCTGTTTCAATCAGTTCTTCAAACTGCTTCAGACACTGTGCTCTTTTCTGCTCGTGGACAGCGTTCAGTCGAGGTATCTCCGTCGTTTCAAGAGGCGGAACCCTTTTGTAATTGAATAATTCTCCCACTGAAATTGGGATGCAGGATGTTTTCGATGCTACTTGAGCAGATGCGACACTCAGTGGTATAACTTAGCACCTTCATACGCTTTTCACTTGCTGCTGGGCATGGGGGCATTGAGCACACTTTCCGATCAGTGTGCTGGTCAATGATCTATTCCATCTCTGGTGGTCGTTAACTTGTCCCCTGAGCTGGGCAATTTGATTGCAAACTTTTCATCACCATCGAGTTGACAACCACCAACCCACCGCTACGCACTACTACGCACCCCAATAACGCACTGATGATGAAACGTTTGCAATCAAATTGCCCAGCTCAGCGAACCGCCGCTGTGAACAACTCAGACTGTGCTGAATGAATCCAGATGGCTTCATCCATAAGATTCCCTTATCGCTGGGCACGAGACTGGAATAACTGCGGTGCACCTGAGATTGGACCACCCGTTTTGTGTGACAAGTTGACCACATGTAATAGAAAAAAAGCAGACACCGACATTCTTCACATCACGGTCAACGAACAAATTCATCATCATCATCATCATCATCACCATCATCGTCATCATCATCGACAGCATGACATCAGTGTCCAACACCGATGCTTCGCTGCCGTACAGCCATGATTTATTTGAAGCCTTATTGTGAAGAAAAGAATGAAGGTGGACGGGGTAGGGACTTAATGTTAGCTTTCAACAGTCGTTTCGAGGTTCCTACGCCTCCAGACATTCACTCAGGCAATCTGGATAGAAATTGACAACAAGAACGACACTCACATCGGTTGACAACCATATCTTGTGGTGTCTCCAACCAGGATAGGTGAGGATCACGCGGTCTCCATCCTGGAATGCGAGTAGCACCGACAGCACCCAAGCGTTTCGTGATCTCCTTCATACTCCGCTGCCAAGTCAAGGGTTGGCCACTCTGAGTTGGGCATGGAAAACAGTACTCTCTTCGGCAAACGATGGTTCGGTATACGTAACACATGTCCCAACCAAAGCAGCTTCTGGTGCTGGATACATTCTTCAATGGAAGTACCCGTTACACAACCGAAAACGCGTTTTCAGACTGCCTCGTTAAGGATTCACCGACACCAACCCACAAGAGCTATGGTTCTGAGACAACGACTGTCGAGCACCTGAAGACGTCTCAGTTCCGCTGTTCGAATAGGCCGAATCTCACAGCATCATACGTGAGACAATGTAACCCACTCACCAATCTATTACTCGCAGCTTGCTTTCTCCAAATGCCAAATCAATAAAATTCATGCTCAGTGCAACAGACGAGGACGGAATGAAGGAACGCGTAGAAACTGAACCGTGCTCGACTACTTAAATGTTTTTTTCAGTAAGGAACACACCAATTACGTGGTATAGTTACTGGGCAATGCAGAACTTGAATGCATGTTTTTCTGATTGGACGACCAGAAAGATTCTACTCAAAGCACAAGAGCCACTTTAATATAATCGAAACTTAAACGACTAATATTCGGAACCATGTGGTGACTACTGCGATCTATGCGAGACGGATGATGATTTCCCAGAGGCCGCTGATGGTTAGGCTCGAAACGAGTTAAAACAAAAGTGCACTGCAAAAGAGCTTTTCTATGAAGTTTTCACAAATGGTGCATTTTCTGCTTTAAACGCAGCATATGGAATTGAATTCCGCGCTTCTGGGTGGCCTGCAGGTAAAACAAAAAAATAAGTACTGTTACTGAGCAACCAAGGTTCCACTTTTTTACGCACTGTGTAATTCACGCAGGATGATTGGTACTTGCTTCTCACAACGTTTGTCAAAGTGCGGCTTGGTGATAGGAGTTTTGGGTTTTAATTAGCTGTGTTGAGCGAGGCCCGTAGAACCAAGGATGTAAACAGCGTTGTTTAATTGGCCAATCCCTAGCAGATGAGCCATTTAGTGAAGAAGTCCGGAAACAAACTGAGAGCCACGATTAGTGGCGATCGTTTTTTTTTTGTTATTTGAAAAGTAAGGCCAAGAATGACCCTACGTAAACGGTTTTGGTGAATTCGAAATCACCGTAATGGCTGGACATCCGAAAGCGGGGACGTTAGTTTAACACCTCTAAGTGAACACCACGTAGTCTGTTGCCTCTCACATAAAAACAAATAAGCACCTCCCAGCATACGTCATTCAATTCGTTATTTTTGAACCTGTGGGAACTTGGATGCAGCCCAACAAGTTTTGCATCTTCCGAAAACAGTGCTAGTGATCCTTCGGGCAGTATAAATTCAGAGCACAGTCAGTTTGATATATACCTAGTGCGCGTCACAACCTAGCCCGCAACACCCAAAGACTGCAACCAAAGTGTTGCTCAGAGGTTTTCAAGCGTGTGTCACGCTACCTAACTGAGAAAACTGACTGGCGGGTCAGCCGATCGTCACAACCAGGATAGTTACTGGGTCGTTGTTCGATGAGTCGGTCATTCCAATCACATCGCTCAAGTGTGAACACATTCGCCCGTCCAGATGTGGAAATTCAAATGCGTCCAACGTGAGTTGGTGAAGTAGTGGTTACACACTCGCCTCGCATGTCGGATGTCCGGGGTTCAAGTCCCGGCACAGCCGTTGGATATGCACTGCTGATGAGCCCTAGTAAGATAGAAATTCGAGTCCAGCGCTTCCCTCTGGTGTGGACACACCGTTGCCTTGGGTGTGACCAAAATCAGATTTTCCCTGCCAGCCGCGTTTTCACGACCATTTCTGGTACGCTGCCAATCTACGTAGCCGAGTCTACGAGCTTAACCAAGAACACCCCTTAGATAGAGAGAGAGCATCATTAATTTAAAAGTCAGATATTTTGTCCTAGCATGTGAAGACACTTTCGGCCATTCCGATGGATAACCTAAATTGTGGAACCACAGCTGTCCTGTACAACTGATACTTATAAGTCAGCTTTTCTTGGCACGGCGGCAAATGAATTCCAGACCAAATCCCAACACCAAGTGTTCATGAAACTTAATAGCCACTTTCTACACAAGATGAGTTCCAAACCCTTTTTGAAGCGAGTCGCTAAGTTCCTTTGTTAAAAAATACCAGACCCACATACCTTCGAATGTCTAGGAGCGACAATAGCGAGATTCATACATGTTTCTGAGAACAGGTGTGTCGTGCTCGACATCAGGAGTCGGCTAGGCGGTCCTTCTTAATTACAGCATGTGTTCCATTACTAAGGCCCTGATCAATAGTAAATAACGGTTCATAGGATACCAAACGATGTCTGGCAAGACTTGAGGAATTTGCTGCTAGTAAAATGGACGTTTCTGTGAAGAGTTCTCAGCTGTGCCGGAAAACTTTAGCAATTTGGACCGGTTGGCTATTTAAGTTTGTAGTGGACAAAGTCAGTTTATGGCATCGTTTTTGTAGACGAATGAAAAACACTTGGATAAAATTGCTACTCGGTTTGCTGCCGACTCAAAAACGCATTTAAACTCCTCATTTTTGCGTCCGAAACACCTTGCCTAAAATGTTTTGCTGGCCACGTTTTCAGAAGTTTGTGAGAGCACTTGTCGACATGACTTACATTACACCTAAGTTATCATTCTTGAAATTTGTAGTCATCATCAGGATTCTAACTCAGGGTGTGTTATTGAATAACCCGCCATTTTGTGGAAATTCGCATATCATTTTGAAGTACTAAAAGGATCATGTTGCGCGGAGTTCATCGTGCTTCACACAGCAAAAAGAACTTTTCAGCAGCTTGTAGACACATATAGTCAGTACACTGTAGTCTTTACGTGCAGCGTGGAGAGGAAGTATGCTGCAAAGATGGGAAATTTATACACCCAGCGCACGATGTATGCTATTCAATCCTGCATCAGAAGCGCATTCCCCGTTTGCCGGGATAGTCTGATTCATAGTTAGTGAATGATAAAACACGTACTCCCTAACACCTATTGAATCCCCGGGATTGGAGATCACGCGAGCATTGACGAGTTAGCCACGAGTAAACAGCTGCGAAGTACGTTTTCACTTCCTCCCCACAGACGTACTACAAGTGAGCGAAACACACGATTCATAACGCTCAGGACAGTGGGTTTCCTTTCATAAATCGCCGCCTCACCTGTGTGCGCACTGACAATATCCAGTCGTAAAATCTACATTTATTGATGTCCGATAAGCCCCGATCGTTGTTGTTTTTGCGGAAATTCTTTTATCGTGGTATCTATCCCGGAAAAATTATGTTTTTTCTCACTAACTTCCACCGGGTGACCCATAGTCATATGTCCGTCCGAAACTTTATACGCGCCTTATCACTCCGATTAGTGCGCGTTGACTTCTGGTTCTGATAACGAAGTAGAACATAAGCGCCATTTCAGATAAGTTGCCAACATACCAACGACCTAAACATCGGATATTTGTCTCGGAACCATTCGAAACCATTTTCAATTTACCATTCGCAAGGGCATTAACCAAGGCAGTGTTCTTACGGTAGTCAGACATTCAGTTGTTCATGTAGCCTATTCGGTGAACGGCTTTTGACTGACTTTCAACTGAACCACGTGACATCCCGTGCTTCGATCATTCTTGTCACCCTTTCTCATCGTGTTACCTAACTGGACTTGTTTGTCACTGATAAACACACCTAAGAGAAGCAAGGCGTGTTCGTCTTTGTTATCAAGTTCGCTGTCCCTTTGAATATCGGTACAAACTCAGCTCGGATATCAGAATATCCCAATTATCTCCATTCCTTAACTCATTCTTCAAAACTCGCGTATCTTCAGCAAATAACCTATAATCCCCAACGACGGTTTTCCAGTGTCTTGTGTCTTTCGTAAACACTAATTCTTTGGAATCCGCGTAGTCACTGTCGCTCGATCCTCGCAGGCTGATTTCCGCAACACGTTGAACATGTCTATGCTTGGAAATTTAAGTGGCCCGATAGGAACTTAAATGGAACAAACTGGCTTTGAACGACTGCTCCTTGTCACCCTTTCTCATCGTGTTACCTAACTGGACTTGTTTGTCACTGATAAACACACCTAAGAGAAGCAAGGCGTGTTCGTCTTTGTTATCAAGTTCGCTGTCCCTTTGAATATCGGTACAAACTCAGCTCGGATATCAGAATATCCCAATTATCTCCATTCCTTAACTCATTCTTCAAAACTCGCGTATCTTCAGCAAATAACCCATAATCTCCGACGACGGTTTTCCAGTGTCTTCTGTCTTTCGTAAACACTAATTCTTTGGAATCCGCGTACTCATTGCCATTCGATCCTCGCAGGTTGATTTCCGCAGCACGCTGAACATGTCTATGCTTGGAATTTTAAGTGGCCTGATAGGATCGTAAACACTAATTCTTTGGAATCCGCGTAGTCACTGTCGCTCGATCCTCGCAGGCTGATTTCCGCAACACGTTGAACATGTCTATGCTTGGAAATTTAAGTGGCCCGATAGGAACTTAAATGGAACAAACTGGCTTTGAACGCCTGCTCGGGTCATATCAATGGAGCGCGGACTAATCAGAATCTCAGAAGAACGATATGCTTACTGGATGTACGAAACTTTCTACTGAGAAGTCTTCTGTCGAGGTAAAGGGAAGAAGGACTTTGCTGTGGAGCTGTTTGTTAGAGAAACACCAACTCAACAGGTACACTCTATTGAACCAGGGAGCAAAACTCTCATCTGGTTTACAAAACTGAATTTCCAGCTTCGCCTTGAACGCATCTTCCTGAATTTTCCCAGATATTCATTGACTGTTACTCAAAAGCGACTTTACAAATTTCGTAAGAGATCTCACGTTTTAAGACGAAGCGGATTGACAAGACAGCATACTACTCGCATGCCTCATCAGTAGTACCCACCGTTACATAGGTCCTTAAGTGACCTGCTTAACTGAGAGCTGATCACACTACTGGTCAACCACTGGCCGGAAGGCTGTGGTTTCAAAATTCTTCAGAGATGTGCACTACTGGTGATTTCCAACAACGATGAAAGGGCTTCCTGGCGTTCCGGGAGAAACTGGCGTCACTGACAGGATGAAATCGCCGGTGAGGATGTAAATTTGAGTTGCACAAGGTAAAGGGGCTTCATGGCTGACGGCATAGTCAAGGCAATGTCAACAATATTCCTATCCACGTCGTGCAGTAGGAACCACATGACAGCTGGACTAAATCGATATCTGGTTACGCTGAGTGTGTAATCGACTTCTCCGCTGTTTCGAAAATCCCGTTCAAGGCAGGACGAAGTAGTGAATTCAGACTTCCTTTCGCACATCACCAAGCACTAGGTGGAAAGTGTCAAAAAGACTGCCGATTTGAGCATCACTTTGTTTGAAACGCCGATCTAGGTGTTTCGAAACTTTTGTATCAGGGTTTAAAGCACAGAGCTACGACGTTTTGAACACATTTCACAAGGGTTTTGGTCCGTTCAAAGCGGTCGTCAGTTGAAAGTGGGATTTGGAAATATATTCGTGGTTTAACCGTTTAAAAAAGCATTTTCGCCGCTTTTTTGACGTCCAGTAGACTATATAATCCCTGACATCCCGATATTTATTCGCTTCCCGGGTGTCCGCCCACTTTCAGCTCGTGGTGTCAACTGTGAACACGAAATTCTCAGTTAATCAGGTGTTTGTCGCACACTTTTCCATTCTAGGATCTCCAAGAATCACGAATCTACGACAACTTACTAGCAACGATGGCTCACAAATCGACCTCGTTTGTCTGATCAAAAGTATTCCTCGACCAACTGTGGACCACGTGCACTGGTTTCGTCATGGGAAGCCTATTCAGCCGACAGAGAGGTGAGCTTGAGTGTTGACCCATTAGCATTCCTGAGGAGATCTTCTTAAGTAAGTGAATGAAAACTATACACTTTATTCAGTGAATAGGGTGCTGACTAACGATAACACTGGAACACCGTTCAGTGCCCGGTAATAATAATCCTGTAGTAATCCTTCCGGTTGCATAGGCTGGAATTCGTTGACTCAAGCTTTCTTGATGCCCAGAAGGATAACTGAGAGCAGTCGGATGTTCTTTGCGAGAGGAACGCGAGGGCAGTGTATCCTGAATGTTGTAGGAAGATGGTTGCACAGTCTGCTGGTCTGCAACCTGGGAGAATATTAGACGAACATGAATGTACCAAACCGATAATAATGGCTATCCGGCTTCGACCGCCAAGAAGAATATTCAGCAATTTTGTCAGTACATATGCCATGACGGAGCCATTTCCAGAAGCTGACAAGAAGAACTCCTCAGACACATTTCAGCTGTCATTTCAACTGCCTAATCCTTTCGCTTATTCCAACGCAACCACAAACGGCCATGGAAAAGACAGTCGAACTGATCGGGATCTGTCTTATCGCTCATTAGACTTTAAGTTTCTGAAGCCCCGCCGTTACTCCATCACAAACAGGCCAGTTACCTGATTAGCACAGTAACCTCCGGATACTACTGATATGCCGTTTAGGTTAAATAACAAAACCGAATTAAGTTTAGCCAGCCGGAAACCAAATTGAACCGTGCAATCCACATATCAGGAAAAGAACACGAAGCCAAATGTTTGACGTCAATCTTGCGAATGGGTTGCGATTACTACTGAATATGCAGAACTGTTCCCGAATCATAACCGGACCCCTATATTCCAGTGCTTTTGGGCGGGTGAGAGTGTATGGTGAGCTCTCCAATACCTTTCCTACAAAAAGTGGTGTCAGACAAGGATGTTCACTCTCTCCATTATTGCTCAACTTCGTCAGTGATAAAATAATGAGGAGAAAACTGGACGATTTCCAAAATCCTGGTCTTCAAAAAGTTGCTGCTGAGAGCCTTGTCAATTTGGAGTACGCAGATGACATCACCCTTACCTTTAAAGACCAAAGCGAAGCACAACTTCTGTTGAATAAACTGACCACCATCATTCCATCTTTTGGCATGCGAACATACCTGTTACAATTCAGGTAGAATTATTGGAGATGGTGTAAAACTTTACATGCATCTGTAATTGTACTAGCTCGTCAAGAATCCCAAAAGCTGGATGGAATCAGATTCGTTCATTTGTGCCACTTGTGGCGTGAAAAAGGCACTCACTAGATCTTAAGGGTCATATGTATAAGGCTTCACCAAGGACTGTGTTGCTGTATGGGTGCGAGACATGGCCTCTGCGGACTGATGATTTGAGGCGTCTTCAGGTTTTCGACCACCGATGCTTCAGAAGCGTGGCTGGTTGTGGATGGCGTCGGCGTGTCAGTAACGAGATGATTAGAAATCGGGTAGTTGGTTGTGTTGCAGGTACTACAATCGGGGAAAACATCCAGCACTATCAACCACGATGGCTCGGTCATGTGGTACGCATGCGGAAACACCGTCTACCGAGACGAGTGTTGTTCTCCATGCCTCCTTCAGGATGGCGCAAGCCGCGAGATGGACAGCACATGACTTGGCAGAAAGGCGTCAAAGAGATCACGAAGACTGTGAGTGTTGTTGGTCGTGTACACCTTCCGTGACTCTATCTGTGCTTGGCTGGAGACGTTGCAAGAGATGGCGGCTAATCGATGTCAGTGACGCTCGGGCCGTCAGTTTCTTTCCAGATTGTCTGATTGAGCGGTTGGAGGTGTAGGCACCTAAGAATGCTTGACATGGGCCAGCATTTGGTCCCCTCCCTCACCCAATCTTTTTCTCTTTTTTTCACTATAGAACTTTTATTATATATATATATATATACATGTCATCATCGACAGCACGACATCAATGTTTAACACCGATGCTTCACTGCCGTACAACCATGACTTATTTGAAAGCCTTATTGTAAAGAAAAGTATAAAGGTGGATGGGGGAGGGACCTAATGCTAGCTTACCACAGTCATTCCGATGTGCTTATACCTCCAGACACTCACTCAGGCGACCTGGATAGAAATTGACAACAAGAACGACACTCACATCGGTTGGCAGCCATATCTTGTGGTGTCTCCAACCAGGCTAGGTGAGGATCACGCGGTCTCCATCCTGGAAGGCGAGTCGCACCAACAGCACCCAAGCGTTTCGTGATCCCCTTCATACTCCTCTGCCAAGTCAAGGGTTGGCCACCTCTCTGTTTAGGCTACTCTGAGTTGGCTTGGAAAACAGCACTCCCTCTCCTCGGCAAACGATGTTTCGGGATGCGCCATACATCGCCTAACCAATACAGCTTCTGGTGCTGTACACATTCTTCAACGGAAGTCTATCTTGCATAGCTCAAGACTCGCTTTCTAACTGTCTGGTTGCGGACTTGGAACCAACTAGTTCTGTGACAACGGTTGTCGAATACCTGTAGCCATTTTCAGTTCCGTTGCATTCACCTCATCTGTCAAACTACAATCAGAGCTAATACAACTTCCAAGATACGAAAACGCTCCACAAATTCCAGTACCTCGCCCTGGCGTGTCCAGTGACTACATGTCCACAAGCATGACCTTACACTTTGTGGGTGCAAAGTGCTTGGCGATTTCTTACACGCGCAAAGTTTTGAGTAACAAGCAAAATGTTCTCATTGTTCGGCAAAGTTTAGATAAAAAGGCGACAGTCAAACTGGTACGGGATTGTATATGTATTTATCCATTATAGTTGTTTTCGTTTTCAACAAAGATAACGTCGAGCTTTCTCACGCAAGTTTTGATTATACACAGACATTTTGGAAGCACATAACGGCTTTCCACATACCATTTGAATTCCAGAATTCAAATCCTCCACGAACAATTGATTTTGGGACTACGGAGCATCCTACACTTTCGGCATGTTCAACTTGAAGATGTGGCTTTGTACAATTGTACGACAACGAATGAATATGGGACCGCGTGGAAGACTATTCAGCTGGAATACGGTGGTAGGTTCTCATTTGGAAGGCTGAGGTGCTTCTGGAATTGATTCCATGCTCACATGACTTGGACCTTAGACTGTTGTGGGTCTGGCTTGTGAACACAACCGAATATTTTTTTAAAAGTTTTTTTTTAAATGTCATCTAATGTGTGTCGAACAAAGTAATCTTCAAGCAGAGTCGGCAAGTCGCCACTTCATGGAGTTTGTACTATCCAGCACAATCTGACACTGGAGCTGCCCTACCCAAATATCTTGCTGAAACCCCGTCATAATCAACACCGCCATGACACCACTTACAGTGGCAGGCTTGCCAGTAAATTTTAACGCTTCCAAGCGGGACCAGAACGCCACTTTTCCGGAACCAGCTTCACCATATTATCTAAGTATCAATCTGTCATATCGCAATTCCAATCACAGTAGGTTTAAAGCAAAGGTAATCTCACCAAATATATTAAAGTTCGGTTTCTGTAAAAGGTTGCGCCTAAGGTTGTGCTCCTTTTCACGAATTATTGTTATATTCTGTGTGCTTTTCCTTTCTGCAGCCTCCATACCGCTTGTTTTCATCGCTGGAACTGGAGTTGCACTGTTCCTGGCCATCCTCTTTGTCGTGCTCCTCTGCTGCTTCTTTCGACATTCCCGAAGGCGGGTGGACCTTCAAGAACGGAAACCCCAAAAAGATGTTCCCCGAGGAGCGAAAAGTGAGTTACTGATGTGGTTCCAGCACGTAATCTCCATTCGGCATTGTCCGAATAAAATGACACGAACTCATGACCGCGGGTAATGGAATTAACTCTGGCCAGGCGCATAGGGTTACCACAGTACCACAACTGCCCTTCTCAAGTGGAAGTCCTCATAGACGTAAAGATCCAAACACTAGAATGCTACCTTCTCTCAACATCAAGGGCTGTTTTGTATACCTAAACGACGATAATAAGCCCATATCTGAACAGGTCTACTATTTGCTTTGGCTCAGCATCTCATTGAGGTCGTCACTCTGTGATTTTTTCCC